AAAACTTTCACTGGTAATATGAAAAATGTGTTAGTCTCATATAGTTCAGGAGAAAGAATCAAAATCAGATGAGTGGCTTTCATCATTACAATATCTGAATGCTAAAATAAATAATTTAACGATCTCTAATTCTTTTTTAAATAGTACGAGTGAGTTCAAGAAAGCGAATGATGCAACAATTAATGCTCTTGGGTGGAAAGCTGATAAGTCATCTGACTTTGCAATAAAAGGTAACTCCAAACACATTACTGAATCATTCAGATATACCAATCAGTATAAAGGATAAGGATAGTAAAACTGTCACAGTTACTAAAAATTTTACTCATATAGATAATGAAGAATCTGAACTAATGTTATGTTTAGGTATAATATGGATTAGAAAAGTTCAAGGTAACCTAGACCCAAATAAAAACTAATTCTGAATGAAGTTACATGGAAAGGCATATATTATCCCAACTTTTAGTAAGGCTCCAGTAGTTAAGGATCTGCCAAAAGAGGATCAGAAATCATCATGCAAAGTCTTTTTTAGCTCTCAAGTTTTTGTTATTTTTTCTAGCCTGACTAATGAGAAGGACTTAAAAAAAAATGCATAAATTGTATGAATTCTAAAGATATGACAGTCCGTATAAAAGAGCTTGAAAAGGCATTATTTTCTAGCATTCAATCAAATTTGAAAATCATAGGATACTATAATAGTTTACGTAGTTATAGTTGATATATTAGACATAGTTAACATAGTAGACATGTTAGATATATCTTTATATGTGATTTATTTTATATAAATAGACAGCTTTTTAGTTCATGTAAAAAGAGAGACAGATAGGAACTCAACAAGTTAGTTTTAGTAGTTTTAGAGGCAACTGATCTATTGTGTTACATTTTAGTTTTAGTAATCCGCTTCTTTTCTTTTCTTATTTTATTTTCTTATTTTTTCTTTATTTCTTTTCTTTTTTTTATTATTTTACTTGTGAATAAACACATTATTTTACAAATATAACTACTGGTAATCTGCTGAATCACTACCCGTCATGATAGTATAAACACTTTTGATAAACTGTCTAAATTAAAACTTGCAAACTGTTGAAAGATTACTGCATAATTAAAAAGAATAAACCATTTGAACACCCTGTCTAACAGTCATAGTTTGCAAGAATTACATGTTAATATTTGGTAATGATGATAGGACTATGTTTTCCTAATTGGCGCAGTAATAACCTATGCAAAATACTCTATGAACAGCTTTAGAGAATTAATTAATTATCAATGAAACCATTCAGTTATATACAATAGATCAGAACGTAACTTCAGAAAAACTACTGGTATTTTCACCTTAACTGATAATCTATCTTGCATAATGTGTAACCTGCTCCCTAAGGAAATTCCTCAAACTTTTCTCAACTTCTTTGAGTGGGCATAGAAAGTCTTAGAAGCACTATTATATACGAGCAAAAATCTAAAAGCCTTTCAAACTGCAATCTCTGTAAAAACTACTAGTGCACAAGAAATATATTATAGTCAGACACTTAAAACTTTGAGATATAAGCAAATACAAATATTAACCTTTGAATGAGCTGTTGAATATTATATTCGAGCTCAAACTGAAACTGAATCATTCTAGAAGAAATATCAGGGCGATTTACTTAATTACCTCAATATATCTCTCTTAACTATAAGTTATAACTCTTCTTTGTCTAGAATGACTAAAAATCCTTAAACAACCCGCAGGAATAGTACTGTGTCTGAATCAGTAAAAGAAAATCTGTCCTCTTAGAAAGCTTATCCACCTGATGAAACTATTAGTATGAATACTACTCCAAGCGGGAGTTATCTAAAGCTGTATTCAATCACATGATTAGCAGATCAGCGGTGTTATATTAGAAGATCGGCTGTGATCTGGATAAGTCACGTGATCACGTAAATAAAAATTTAGTATTCTAATATTAAATTATTAAACGATAAATATTGTTATGAAAGATTAAATATTGTAACATAAAATGTTATTTTTTATTAGCATATATAATAAAAAAATTTTATTATCAGTATTACATTTGATTATTTAGAAAAGGTTCTAAACTATCTTTCAGTTTTCTAATAAATGAGTTAGTTTGATTTGTGTCACCTTTCTCTTCAACTCTCCAATATATATCACGCATCCTTTCCATTAGTTCACTTACGGCTAACTGTCAATTATCTAATACTTTCTCAGCTTCAGTTATCCTAGGTACTTCTAACTCAACTAGTTCGCAATGTATATATATATCAAACCAGTCTCATCAAACATTTGTTGAAATTTTTCTCACACATCAGATGTTAATAGCTTTATAGCACTATACATATTTTCATGGAATATATAATGGCAAGGTAGTAAATACCGATGAAAAAATAAGCAGTAACAATGTAAAGACGTAAGACCCAGTGCTGGCTTGCCTTTCTTTATTCATCCTTTAATAGCGCAAATCTCACCAATAAGCATTTGTTGGATTGAAAACGTGAATTTATGAATTTCATAAAGGATCTCATTATCAACACCAATAGCCAAAATCCTTTTAGTTCAAAATTTATAAGCAACACGTTCTGAATCAGAGTGTTTTTTTTCATCAAATGCAACTATCTTATAGCAGGCACCTGATAATATTAAATTAGATTAGATGAAGCTATCTTATAAAAAATTATAATATAAAAAAATAAATACCAATTAAACCATGTTATGGAGAAGAGGTTCTCTTTAATTCACTGTGATATGATTCTAAGGCATTTATTGAAGTCACTTGCAAAAGAAGAGGGAATGCTGTCATGTCCAAAGCCCCATTAATGCATATTTCTCGTATAATTCCTTGAGATGTATTGTTTAATGATCAGATTTGGACATTCATTGATCGCTTGTTGAACTAAATCCTCATATCTAATCTTAGTCCTTTTGTGCATAGCTTGGATCATTTTTTGTCGTGTCTTCTTATTGTAAATTCTTCTCATTCAGATTCATATGATATGCACTGTATAAAAAATAATATTGCACTCCTGTTCACCAATTTCAAGACCCGGAAAAGCCATTTTGATGCCATTGGATTCTATATTACTTTGGTCAGAGAGAAAATATCTTGGACTCCAATGATTTGCAAATCGTTTAATTATTTTTAAGCCTTCCGCAATAGTATAACTATCTTCATTGCTTACAAAGAAATGAGCCCTGACGTTTCAACATCCATAATTATTGTGAATATACAAAGTAAACAACTGACAATCGTATTTATTGGTCTTGCTCGAGATTTTTGAGTTGATTTGGTTTTGCAAAAACAAAAGCGTAAGTTGATAAATAAGAAATTTCATAATACTCGACCAAATATTCTTGTTTTCTTAAAAAGGAAATGGCCTCTCGAATATCTACACTTCGTTTAGAATTGCCGATAAGATGTACATCAAGTGATCTATGCACTTTATATTTTATGTTTATAACTTTCTTTGGTTTAAACTCCTTTATGCTTTCTCCTAGATCCAGTTCTACAATTGCATATTTTTTTACAGCATTAATGATTTCTAGTGGTCAGTAATTTTTTAAGACCTCTTGTACAACTAAATCTCAGACAGCTTGAGAATGCTTAATCTTTTCACTTTTCTCCAAAGAGTACATATGGTCAGGTGAGTCCTTAAATCATTCAATTTGTACTTTTTGTTCAGAAATATAATGTTGAACTTTGATTTTTGCAGAACAAAAATCGGCCGGCCGAATTTTCGTTATGCAGCGTTTTTCATATGAAACTCCTCCCTTCTGGGTACTTGATTTATTATGCTTATTAAATCGACAAATAAAGACCTTCTATGAATCACCATTAACGTTATTTTTAGAGCCATATCCAACCCATACATTCGATACAAGAGGTCACCACTCCTTATCAAATTCTTTCATTAAAAGTTCAAGTGGTTGTTTGACATTGAAAAGGCGAATTCATTTTTGGTTAGGAGTTAAGGCCACGAAGGTAGGTATGTTTATAATATTAGAAGCAAATGGTGTGATCATTGATTATTTGTGATAGATATTAAAGTGGGAAAAATTCTAAGGAATACCACCGAAGAAAACTTCAAAAAAAATCAGAGAAAGAATTTTTGAAAGAAAAAAAAGCTCCTGAAGAAAAAAAAACTTCAGAGAAAAAACCCTAAGGTAAAGAAACTTCAAAGAAATCAGAGAAAGAATTTTTGGAGAAAAAAAAAACTCCCGAAAAAAAAAAACCTTTGAAGAAAAAAAAACTCCAAAGAAAAGGCATACAAGGAGCAAATTAACCACTAGTAAAGAGGACTTCAAAGAAAAATGATTTTCAAACTTCTCTCTTCAAAAAAAAAGTCGTAAAGAACAAGAAAAAGCTGGGAGAACAAATACACCACCAACAAAAAACCTCAAACCTTTAAGAAAAAAATCCTTCAAATTTAAACCCTTTGCAGATTGGAAAAAAAACAAACAAAAACAAAAGTTTCTCTCCTCAAACTCTAGCAACAAAAAGTAGAGACCAACAGTATAGAACTAGTATAGAATCCTTCGTCACTGTTAAAAAAAGATCGTTGTGGCTTAGAAAGCAAAGAGTTTATTATGCGGCTGTTTTTTTGTTATTATTGAAAATTTTATTCACGTGACCACGTGACTTATCCGGATCACAGCCGATCTTCCGACGTGACACCGCCGATCTGTTGATCACGTGATCGAACACGGCTTTAGACAACCCCCATTTCGAATTATAATAGTTTCTCAAAATAGTAGGTATCAACGTTGTGATTCATTAGACTCATTACACGTGATAAACAACTCATATTAACATACGAATACGTATTTCTCAATAATGATATATAAATGGGAGGTTTGCTATTAAAATCGAGTTATGAACATAGTAAATCATATGACCGTAACGTGATTTTAATAGCTTACCTCCCAAATGTATTTTTAGCTACTTCCTTCGATCTAAAAAATTTTTTTTTTTAAAAATTAATTTTTAAATTTGTTAATATCTTAAAAGATGGCAACCAAAGAAAAAGTTATACAAGGATATGATGTTACTTTGGAGTTCTTGATGGAGGCAAAGAAGAAGTTGGAAGATTGGGAAGAGGAAAATGGAGGTAGATTAAACGAGTTGACAAAGGAGTTGAGAAAGTTAAAGAGTCAGATAAGATGTGAGAAAGATGAGAAAAAAAGGAAAATTCTGGAGAGGAATGAAGAAGATTTGGAAAAGGAGAGAGTTGAATTGGAAAACGAAAAGAAGAAGTTAGAGGATGACAAGAAGGAGTGGGGGAATACGTTTAAAAAGTTCGTTGGAGAAGGTAATGAACAAATTGCGTAAAAAAAATTATTTTTCGTTCGTTCCATTTCGTTTATTTATTCGATATACTGCTTACAACTTTTTTTTTTACGCAATTATTAACGTTGGTTTTGATATCATTGATACAT